TTTTTTTGTAAAGAAAGTATCAGAAGCATTCCTTCCACCAAAAAAAAGCCAAAAAAACACAAAAAAATTGTTGGTAATGGTTATTGTGTATTGTGATTGGTTTCAAAGTGGTTGAAAAATACACGAATTTAGTTAGATCTGTTTTCCACAGTATTATCAGCATTTTCAACGTTACCTTTTTCATTGTCGTCGTCGTCACCATCATCTTTACTGCTAATATCAGTATTATCAAAATTTTCATTGTCACTTTTATTATCGTAACTGTCATCTGAAGCTGTATCACACGTCTTCCACTTGGACCTTGTTCCTCTCTACTGAAATTACGAGTCATTAAAATGAACGGATTTCTCTGTACCCATCCCTCTATTCCTTGGAATCCCAAAATTTCATCTATCTCTTTCCAAATGTCCACTTCATTTTTGCACCATCACTTTTCTTCCCCAGAAACAAATGTATTGTTTATTTGTTTTCTTTTTTTTCTTTACGCCGTCAGTCTGATTTATAGGAATACATAACAATAACAGCAGCAGTGATCGTGGAAGATAAAAAGAGAAAGTTTATGGGGAGAAAATAACAATCAGAATCCTTAATTTCATAAGCAGAACTGTTTCATGTTTTATTTCTTCAACACCATTTTGCAGTTTCAACTTTCGTTTTCGTCATTTTTTCTTCACGTCAACAGAAATTGTACATTTCTTGTCGGTGACTAATTATATCGTTTACTTATTATTAACATTATCAATATTAATATTGAAATCACTATTATTATTATTATTATTATTACCAGAATGATACGTTGTTGTTTTTCCTTCTTATCTTCCTAATCATTGTATCCCAGGTGATTAAGATCAAAAAAAAAACAAAATCAAAAAAAAAACAACAGGAAACTAAAGGAAAATGGTCTTTTTCTTCAGTTGTCACAACTTAGCTGATCCCGTGTTCAGAAATCTAATCATTTGTTTTCTTTCTTGTTTCCTTTTTTTTTGTCTAGAATATTATTTTTCCTTTTTTTTTTTTCTTTGATTGTCTATGTATTATTATTGGCTGTAATAATTCTTCATTAACATTTGTACAAAAATATGGAACAAAAGAAAAACATATGAAGAACAGAACTGTTTTTTTAATACTATTTTTCTATTTCACGTTTCTTAGATATTTTTTCTTCTTAAATAAATAAATTATATTACCCTAAAGTGTTAATCCGCAAAACAGAAGGGTAATATACTACTGATGGAGGTACAATAGTGTTACAGTACTGAAGGGGATCCACAGAATCAAAGATGTTTCACGATTTTCGGAAAAGTCGCTGCTCAAACAATATAATAAGGGGGTTTCAGTGGTTGCAGCGCACAAAACTTAACAGAATCTCAATAATATACCAAACGCGGAACCCACCGTAACCAACTAAGCATTCCAGAGATCTTCAGGTACACGCGAGACTTCGTCACCACTGCACTCCACTGAAGTCTCAAGCCTCCACATAAACGCGGCAACGCGTAACGCATAGAACAACTATTCTACGAAGCAAAAAACGAACCCCGACCCTTGACCATTAAACTTCACGGTCGTAAACTTTCCCATCGTAACACTCCATACTGCTGCCAACTCAGTTAAATAAATAGCAATGTGAAAATCCCTTCCGATCAAACACCTCGCCACAAAAATTACCCCTGGAAGTTAAAGGAAACATGAGGCAACCATACAGCCTGACCAAAAGCAACTATATTGCAAGCCAGACTGGTGAAGGAAAAAATAAGTGGCTTTTGCTGTTCATTCTGTCCTCTCTGTATTGAGTGACATCCAAAAAAACATGAGCAAAAATTGTCCATGAAACATGCGGAAAATTTAATTTAATAACTCTCTTTAAGCACCCAAAATCCGATTTCCGTTCAATACTTATACACTATAAACAAGGAATAGGCAACAAATGTCTACAAACAATATAAACAACTTCAACAAAACTTGGGCTTTTCCTCTTCTCATTTTATTCAAACTCAACGAACAAGGCACCAGGTCGTATAACAACAACTACTTATCGTAAAAAATAAAATCAAAAGAAAATTCCCAAAGCAGTAACTCAAAAATCTGGAACCAGAACTTCTATAATTAGCATAAGCGAAGAAAAGGCTTTTCAGACAAATTAAAGTGAAGTAAACGAGAATATACGAAAACCTGCCGGGAGGCTCATTGTTATAAGCCAACTGATAGTATCTGGAGGTCCAAAAACTAAAAATCCAAACCACTGCTGGTAAAGTGCGATGTAAAGCCTTTACCTCGGATTATACAGACGAGGCATAATAAATAAAACTTATAATAAATATATTAAACGGCAAAACAGAGCAAAAGACTTATGATCCGGCAATAGCCTCCCTTAAAATGCCAGTCTTCCTCTCCTTTTGTGCTACATTAATCTGTAAAAACAGCCTTTGAGAAGCAATAAACACATGAAAAAAAAATACAAAATTCTAGAACAAACCTTATCCCCCAAAGAGAGTGCCATGCCTTGGCTTTTAGCCCGTATCCTTATGTGACCCATAATTGGTCCAGATGGGTCCTGTGGATTTGCTTTCTCAATTGAAACATTCGCTAAAGCGTCCTCTCCAAATATGGAGTGAGCGCAGAGATTCGCAGCCAAGAAACCACAGTCTCCCTCTTAAAAAAACTATCCTATAAACTAAGAAACATCTTGTTTGTATAAATAATAAGCTATTACGCTAAACGACAGTTACCAAGCGCAGCATCCGTTGTTAGTAGTTTCATGTTGGTGACGGAAGATAAATGAGAAAGAAACTCTCTCAAATCAGTTATGTAAGTATTTACATTGACCTGCAAGAAACTACAATGATAACAGACCGAGAAAGATGAAAACGAGAACACCTCCAGGAGAGGAATGGGCAAGAAATAAAATGACTTACACCGCCAAGCTAAATATTAGAAATCTATTGAAAACTAAATGAAAAAGTCCTTTGAAAACCATATTTTAGGCTTTTTAAGAAGGATTCTATTCAGTTATATAAGAAATTGATACCTTATTTTCCCACTCGAATTCAGCCCACATTTGTCTGAATTCAGTATCTGTGCATTCTCCAGGAACGATGTAATCCATAATATCAATATGAATGTCCTGCAAGTACACACAATTTCTATCAGATGTTGAACCCCGCACGTCGTATGCAATAGTTGAAAATATAACGCCATTCTCTGTCGAAGCCACTTTGATCGTCGCCTGAAAACCACAATAAGAAACAGTGAGAATCAAGTATTTTCAGCTTTAAAAAGTAAGACGCAGTTTCAATGAATAAAAATGAAGATACTTTTATGTTAGCGAAGTCATGTGGCGCCAAAGTAAGTGGCATTGGTTTATCAACCAACTTTAGGTCACCAACAGTCGACAATTCTAAACACACGTTCTGTAAAGTATCGCTCGTCTGATTCACTATCAGAACGTCAAGTACTATGTCATACTGGTTCACGTTAACGTACGCCTCAGCATAAACTGGATCTGAGAAACCTGCTAGTTGCTTCACCTAAATTCACGAGTAAAACTTTATCCCATCTATACTTAATTGATACAAGAAAAGAAAATAAAAAAACATCCTCAGTTAAACTGGAAAAGTAAAACCAAGAGAGGAAACCTCCTGCGGCCTATCACGAATTAAAACGACTGACATCCACTACTAAGAGTTTAAAGTAATAAACCTGCTTAATAAAAAACGATGACTAAATCAAAAGCGAGGACCTTTCCAAGTTTTGACGAGGCAAAGTCGAACTTTGCAGTTTTCGGTGCTGTACCCAAAGCCTGAGACAAAGATAAATCAAACAAATTTTCTGAGGCATTAATCCCATCGCTAATTCGAGGAGCCAGCTGAGTAAATTCCACAGTCCGGTCAACTTCAACTGCAACCGACCTAAAGTTAAAATCCACAATTTTTGCGACCGAAATGCACCACAAGAATCAACTTAAAACTTAAATTATGCGCTAGAATGTAACTTTACTAACCTTTTAGAAGATTCGTTTTCGTGTTTATCCGTCTCTTCTTTCGCTTCCAACATAAGCTCAAGACTTTCTCTGCATTTCCCCAGAAAAACTTGTTCTGCTGCAGGACACCGCTCGCACAAAATTTTAACTGATAAGCCAAGACTGAAGAAAATTTTGCCGATGCATAAATCAATGAAAAGAAATAGAGCTGTATTCCGCTACACACAACCGATAAAATTCAAGAAATAATTTAACTAGTAATCTAAAATATCAACTAACCGATCCAATTCATCCTCCGTGATGCTGACTTTCGTAATGCCACTCTTGCCAAGATTAATTATGGATGCAATTATAAACAAAGCTTCACCACCAAAAGCGTTGATTTCTTCCTCGCTTACTAAAAATATGAAATTAAAAACCAGTACGTATTTCTAATCAACTTCCACAAAAAAATTAATGCTTTTGAGTCACTTTCCTAACTGCAAGAAAATACATTCGTAATGAAACACACTAACCAGTTCCCAAAGACATGAACTTTAGCACCAATTTACAAAGTGTAGCTGCTAGCGAAGCAGCAATAAAGAACTTCCCATCTAACAGAAAACAACGTAAAACTGGTTTTTCATCAGTTGTCAGTTTTGCACTACCAACCAGAGCCGATTGGGTGGCATAAGTACCATCAGCGGTCACTAGCTGTTTCTTTTGCTGAAATGACGGTGGCACTAACATAGAGCAGGAGGACTTCGAAATCTTAGTTATCTGATCAAGAAAACCTTACTCAAAAAGATAACCTGTGTAAGAGAAGCAAAAAGAAATGGCAAAAATGCACATCAACAGAACATAATATTAAGATTTTAATATGTACTTTCGGCTTATTTTCAACCAAGTCCTTTTCTTTCTGTTCGTCTTCACTCCCAGCAGCCGCTGCACGTAGTTCAGTGTCCACAATTGGCAACTCACCCAACGACTGCTTTACAACCTGCATAACACCTTCAATAGCCTCTTTAGATTCACAGTACTCTCCGAGAATCCAAAGAGCAGCGCGAAATATTTGGCCATTCCTAATGGTAGCGAAAACGTCCTGAAAAAACAAAGGAAATACAAAAATTTCATTCCTTAGCCTTAATACAATTAAACCGTAGCAATGAAAAACACGTAACCTGAAGCTGGGAAAGAACAATAGATCTAAGGTGTTTCAAACGCTGCACAGCTTCTCTAATAAAGACGAGGACGTCTTGCGCAGCAGATTCACAGTCGTCAGAGAGAAATTCCATAAGAACAGGTACGATATTGGCTGCAACATCTGGGAATTTAATCGTGGCTGAATGAAGCGTTCTTACAAGCATCTGCCGGTATCGTCCTGTTTCCTCCGCAGTACCATCAGTGGACCGACTAATTTCCTACAAATCAAAAATCACGTGTTATTTTCTTATTGGTTAACAAAAATACGCTTTTTTCATCAACCTAATCATGAAAGTGTTCCAACCTTTCTTAGGAACATGACCATTTCTTCGACATTTTTCGAAGAAACTAAGTCGAGAGCTAGTTGTAAAGTTTTCTTCCGCACTTCAAGATCCGATGCCGAAAGAACTCTCAAGACGTCCATTACTAGCTCACGCATAACCTTTTCACTGGCAGGGGAAGATTTAAGCTCGATAAGACGATTTAGAACAATCAGCTAAAGAATAACAAAGTAAAAAAATGATATTCTTACAAACTAGCAAATCTTTTGAAAATAATCAAATCAGAAGACGAAGTTTCTCAATTACTTAAATTACCTTAACATTGTTATCTGACTCCTTGACAATCAAGTCAATATAAGCTGTAGCAGCGGCTTTAATCGCCGTTGGAGCAGAACTTAATGTAACCAAGGTCCCAGCCGCTTCATATCGAACAGATGAAGAAGTTGATTGAAGAAGATTATAAACACAACGTATAAACCGAGCTCTCTCAGAAGGATTCGCATGACAAACCTGAAAATCCTTTCTGAACGGAAAGCGATACTGCCAGATTTAGTCGAAAAAAGGAAGAAAAATTGAAAAATAGATAGCAGACAGCAGTATTACAGATGATATTGCAACAATCATGACCCTTACTTTGTAAATTAATTCCACAATTATTAATTGTAGAATATCGCCAAAAGAAGTAACTTGGTCAATAACGTCAGACAAATAATCCAAAGCTCGAGTTTGATCAACGTGCAATAACATCATAAAAGCATTCCTTTTACATGAAGCGTCTTGTTCAGCGTTTAAAAATGTTGAAATCAAATCAGGAGCATCAGGAATCAAGAACTCGAAATTTCCTTAAAGCTTTTCTTTAGTACTCGAAAAAATTAATTCACCATCAATGTGAAATTCAAATGAAGGATTTACTGTATATAGTGAAAATTGCAAGCACTGCGTTCCTGCGCACGTAAGAATGTCTGTGCTCCAGACATGAACGTATGGCTGGCATCAACGGCTCCAAAAGTTCAGGCTCTCTCAACTTACACAGAAACCTAGAAATTTTTCTTAATAGATTCTTGCCTTTGCGGAATTACACAAAAGAATAAAAAGTAATATGTTAACCTTAACGTAGAACCTCTTATAAATTCATTTGGATGCTGTAAATCTTTACGGTACGCATCACAAACCAAGATCATTTCATGCAGTAACTTTCCATCAAGGCTCGTCTAAAACTATACGAATATTAAGGCGACAAAAATTCAAATGAAACCACCACGTTACAAATGACTTCAATAGCAAGATGTGATACAAAATAATGAAGCAACAAAAAACACCTTAGGAACGATTTCCCAAAAAAGCAACAAAAGTTTCTTAATCCCATGATCCGTAGTTGGCAGGCAGAAACGGATGACATACATCATCAGACTCTGTCCAACCTTTTCACCATTCATGATCATCATTATTAACTTTCGAAGAGTTTCGGCCTTTGCTTTATTATCCCCTAAAAAAAAAACAAGCGAATTCGCTAGTGAATCTCAGAATTCTGTTAGAATATTTTTGAAAAAAGAGGAAAAACTTATTCCCTCTTGATGTTTGTAAATAACAAACCTTTTTCAAGCTTCTCCTTCAACTGCATCTCGCTTGGCGCTTCAAAATCGCTAGGCACATTGATCAAAGTATAACATGGCAATTCACCCGAAGTCATATTGAAAGCGACTAAGCTAAAACTTGCAATGTTTAATGGAAATACGAAACAAGAAAGCGTTATAAAAATAAACAGCGCACTAGAGCATAACCCGTTCAATGGTTAAAATAAAAGTAAAGCCTTGGAAAATAAGTTCGCTATAATAAAGGAAATTGATGCTTTTGAGGGCAAAAATGTAGTGAATCCACAACTAAAATGCATCTTAATTATCGGGGAAATACAATAACAGGTAAACCTGAGCTAAGATTTCCATCAAAATTACTAATGAAAAAAAAGTGCTTCAACAGTAGCTTAACAAAAAGATACCCTTTGGTCTTTTTGACAAGCAAGAAGAATAAATTTCAGTACTTCAGTTACTTTTAAACGTCCAGAATAATCATTCCGCCCTTATTTTGGAAATAAGGCCAAGTGATTCTTTTACAGTTGTAACTGTAAATGTCTAAACAAAAAAAAAAAGAACGTCTTTTTTCCAGATACATCATTATCAGTAGCAAAATTTATTCATTCAAAAATCATACAAACAAAAGACAATTTGAATAATCACTGGTATTCAGTCTAACTAAGACATTTTAACTGGAGGCTGTTAGTCAATAAAGCCAAAGTACAGAAATCACTAGAATAAAAAATGATTAATTGAAAAATTTTTAATGTCAACCTCAAAAGAACTGGTGTTCATTGGTAAACATTACACGGAGAAAATCTTTCTTTCAATATTCATATGGTAGAATCATTCAAAATAATTAATTTTGAGAGAAGAACCTTAACCATGATACCTCACAGGAAGAGTAAACGACCAAATAACGCTGTCATCAAATTCCTTAAGTTGTTAGCTTAACTCAAAGAGAAACGAGAAAAGAAATGATAAGAACCCAAATAGGTGAAAAAAAAAAAAGTGAATATAGAATAACGTCTAAGTTTATTGATCAGCGTTAGTCAGTTATCATCTGATTAAAGCAGAATACTTGCAGATGCCTAGTCTCTGCAAGTTATTCCAAATGGAATTTGAGTGTTACGCATCTGTAAATCGTACTTGGCACCCATAGCCGAATTAGTCTTTGCACGTCCCTTAAACACCGACATACACAACGTGGACACCACCGTACGACGACAACACAAATCATTTTTGAATTTTAATTCGTTAGTTGCAGCCATCTTCCGGACGTTTTGCTATCGTGTCATAAACCACATCATAATATTTGCCTCTTACGTATTCCAATCATAGATATTCAGCAATTTTTTTTTTTCATACTTTTTTTTTCGACGTCTTGTCGTTGCTGTGATTCATACCCATAAAGACAAGCAGATTGATTTTGTTTAATCCGCTAAGCGAACAGAATTTGCAAGGAATGGGAACAGTTGCACAGCTTTTAAATTTAATACACAGTATACAAAGGTTCACTGGGGAAAAATTAACACTTTTTTAATTAAATCATTGTTTCTTCTTTTTCATATTTTTGCAAATATAAATAACAGTCACTGAGAAACTGAAATTATTAAACTTAAAAATATTTGTTGGTACTAGAACTATATTCAATTAACGAAGTTTTTTTGTCAAGAATTATATAGGTACTCTCAACTCTTTAATCAAAGGCTGTCAAATGAAAGAATTAAATGCAAAAAGTGTGACAATCTGATGGATACATACAAAAGTGTGTACAGCAGTTTGTTGGCTTCTTGTATGTTGGAAAAAAAAGGTGTTTTAAATTTGCTGAAACTTCATTTCATTGTCGAAGAAATGCAGTGAAAATTATTGGTGCACAGCAATCCGATTTAGCAAGTTTTAGGCTTTTGTTTTCTTATTGTCCCAACAAAGTTTTACGCATGTGATCTACAACATGCTCCTAATGTTAGCACTTAGATGTGTAAAATTAGGGCTGTTAAAATTTTGATGACCGTCTTTAGCTTTGACAAATATTTTTTTTTATAAGATCTTTTAGCATTCAAGTGACTTACTATTACTATTTGTGAGTATGCATTTTCTTTCGAAGGAGACGAACAAACTTTTTCGACGGTTGATCACGAAATTACATGTTAGATTTTTTTTAATTCATACTATAACAAGCTGTCATAACAGACAGAGGAGAAACAATGTAACCATTAGTATCGTCTCGTATTTTTACCTTCTCAACCATTTAGCTGCTGTCGTTTGAGCAACCATAAAATTGTTGATTAACATTAATTGCTGAATTTGATGCTGAAGATTGAAAGCCATCGGTATATTTTTGGTGACTAGTCGCTTAGTTATGTTATTGGTTGTTAACATCTGCC